ACAGCCCCCCCCCCCCCAAATAAATAAATAAGGTAAATAAAACATCAAACACATGACAATGTGTATGTGTGATTTGACCAGGGCATTTCTACAGAAGGAAGGGAATGAAGTGTGTGAAATGACCATGCACTTTCGGAACTACGTGTGCACCCGCTAGTCCGATAGCAGAAGTAGTAGTTCAGGTAGTTCCTGATTCCATGTATGTCCTTAAGGACAGTTACCTTCATTTTTTGAAATGCAGATGGCACAGAAGCAAGGCCATATGGAACCCGGAAATATCTGAAGAGGCCATCGTGCATGATAAAAGCTGTGATGTCCCGGCACTCCTCATGTAAGGTAAGCTGATGGTAAGCAGCTGCTAAATCAATTGTAGTGAACACGGAATAACCTCTAAGGTCACTCAAAAGTTCATCCATGTGTGGCAGAGGATGACTGTCAACAATTGGGGCCTTATTTGGCTCATGCAGATCAAGACAGAGACGAATTTTACCCCCTTTCCTTGCGGTAATGACAATAGGCGAAATCCAAGGAGAAGAATCAATTTTCTCAGTTATGCCTTTTTTTCAATAGTGAGTCCATTTCTGCAGAAACAGCTTGTCAGACAGCGAATGGCAGTCGGTGTAGCTTTTGGCGTACCGGGGTAACATCAGGTTTGACTGTAGGCTTATGGATGAATCCTTTCACGCATCTCAGCAAGAATGGTTTCACCAACAACTGTGCAGTGAGCATATCTGAATTTGAAAGTGCTTGTTCCACCTGACACGCAATAGTAATAGCAGAGTCTAGCGTAAGTGATGTTTCCAACAGAAGTCTGTCTCACACTGCTGGGGCATGCGATCGCTCAACCACCTGGTCCCGCAGCATTTTGCGCTCCATATCAGCATAAGCACATGATGAAGCTAGTCTTGTCAGCACGTTGAGAACACTGATGAAAGCGATGTTGAGCGACCACCACATTCACTTTCGGCGTAAAATGACCCTCCAGCACTTTCATTGCATGTTCAAATGTAGTTCCCGTATCAGGCAAGATGTAAAATAGCCGCTGGCCTTTCGGTACCCAAACTGTGTAGCAAAATAGCATGTTTTCTTGCATCAGGCTATGAGCCTCCCATAGAATTAATGGCCAGCAAATAGTTCTCAAACATTTTCCACGAAGCAACAAAAGGAATCGCAGGATCTCCACTGCATGGCAGAAAAGGCGCAGGCATAGGCACAGAAACCATTGTCGCCAAATTGTTGTATCCTCTAGTACTCAAGCGGACATGTAAATCCCTTTAGGCTCTTTATTCAGCATGTGCTACATTTTTTTTTACATGCTACAGAACTTCTTCCAGCTTCTTCTTAGAGAATACTAAGCACCACCTCTACACTTAACAATATGCTGCCACTTTGTGGTTTAACTACAAAACACCACAATTGTGTCATGTTTTATGTTCAGTGTAAATAAACAAATCACTTGTCTCTGGAAAATGAGTTTGCAATAAAAATGTACAGGCTTGCCAAACTCTGAATATTGATTTGGTGCTATTTGTATCCCCAATATCTTTATTCTTCATTATTTATTAGGTCCGTGAAGGGGAATGAGCTCTAGTCAACAGCCCAATGTGAACAGCAATTCAAACGATATTTGATTTGGTTATTATCTTGGTATTATCATTTATGTTATTGTCAAGTGCTTTGTTTCAAAAGATAAACATAATTGCATAATAAATCAACCATCTGTGTAGAAGAAACATGTTAAATACATATTAAATATTTATTTTCCTCAATTTGTTTGTCTCTGTGTTCCAGTGCTCACATTTTCTGCATGAGATTTAAAAACAGTAGTTACCACATGATCAATGACAACAGCTTACTACACAAACAAAACAACAAAGGGATGAAAAAAAAAGGAATAGTAACATCAAAGTCATCATCAGAGAGTTCAGGCTCTGAGGACCCTGTGTTTCCAGCTGTTAAATTTGATTTAATTTGCTTTTATTATGCTGACGCCTTTAAGCTGATGAGAGAGAGAATGAGATGACCCTCTTTATTAAGTCTCAGGAGGACACAACAACATCTAAGGGATAAAAGAAAGATATGTATATACGCTAGTCAACATTTGAAGTTGATCAAAACCTTTCATCAAAGTTGTCCTAAAACCTAAAACGCCTTCTTGTCTTAGGACAACTTTGATAAACTTTTTTGATCCACTTCAAATGTTGACTACTGTATAAAGAGAGATTAGAAGAATCTTCTTTTGTAAGAAATGTCCCTGCTGTGAAAAAGTTTCACCTGTGAGCGAAGGCAGAGGGAATAGCGAAGGGAAAGAACTTCTTACGATAGGCTACAAACAACAGAGTGGTGTTTCCCATCAGAGACAGCACACCTGCAGTGAAAAAAGAAATATACAATCAAAAAATCAGTCAATTAAAAAAGAATGGTAAAGCTGCCTTGAACAATACTTATTCAAAATTGTGAAAAGCATTTATCAGGGGTGCCCAGTCCTTTTCCTGAAGATCTGCCTTCCTGCAAAGTTCAGCTCCAACCCTGATCAAACACACCTGAACAAGCTCAGATCTTCAGAAGCTCTTGAACATTACAGACAGGTGTGTTTGATCAGGGTTGGATCTGAACTCTGCCTGTAGTGAGATCTCCAGGAACAGGACTGAGCACCACTGTGCTATAATGAATAGCGCTATAATGCACTATAATGAAATAATGAAAAGAAATAATGAAATAAAAAAGAAAGAAATAAAAGAAATAATGAAAAGAAATGTGAATTGACTTGGAAAGATAATGCCATTAGTAGTATGCAGACATAATCTGTTATTTTCAATGTTCAGGGTTATTCAGAGAATACCATACTCTCAGTAGCTTAAAGCCTTATCAATGTAAGTTTAATAGATGCACAGGACGGGGGTTTCGTATATGACTATCATTCCAATCCTGCTGCAATCTGTGGAGATTTCTCAGGCACAATAAACATTAAGGTCTTTTGAGGCATTCTTTATTTATAGTAAGTAAATTAAAATAAACATTGACTAACAGAACATTGACTATCTTAAGTGACAATTCTACTTTCATAGTATAGCTAATTTAGCTGTTGTTTATGGTGATATTAGGTTGTAAATTAAATAAATAAATAAATAAAGTGACCATTACGTAACATTTTGACTTTTGTCTAAAGAAAGTATATGGTCTTTGTAATAACCATATCTTTATGAGAAAAATATTTTTTGATTAAAGTTAAATCAAAATGTAAGGTTTGAACCAAACCATAAATATGATTTGAGAAAAAACTACTTGATGTGAATTAGACTGCATTTAAGTTGGTCCAAACTAACTCTTTTTTTCAGTATTTTGAAAAACAGCAGCAATATCACAACAGACAACAGTGTTCAATGAACAACTGAAAGTATAATAATAATAATAATATATTTTATAATAATACAAATCTGTATCCTTTATAGTAAGATGTTTACAGAATTAAAAGCTATGTTTAGCCAGTACTTTTAGACTACTTTGACAGATACTTACCAAAGATGATGTAAACGGTTCCCAAGAGCAAGTCATTCTCTTTCGATATTTTGGACTGAAACATACCAGTTTCAGATGAGTTTTCCATCTGCGCAGAAGAAGACAAGGAGCAAATGTAAGTCTAGTATGCAACACCCACATTTGTTTTATTTTGCACACCTTCCTCCTTACATTTGAAAATGTGTGTTGTTGGATTCAGTCCAGAATTGATCAATGCATTTCCATTAGCACCTGCTTCAGTCTAATAGATGAGAAGTTCTCTAGAAACGAGAGCGTCTCAGTATGTCTTACCATAAATCAATTTTGCTCTGAAGTGCACACAGTCCACATGGCAAAGAGATGTAGCATGCGTGCACATTCCATAGGCGTTTTGAAAAGGCGTTTTGCATTTTTAGATTTTCAAAAAAACTCATTCTGAATGATCTATAAGCCTTTTGAAATATGGGGACACTCAAAACGTCCTCACAAATCTCCTCCTCGTTGTAATACCTATGTCATACCAATGTCATTATACAAATTTGTGTCCTCATAAAGCATGACGGTGTGTGTAGATACTCTGAATGAGACCACTGGATGGGTTGATGAATTTAGTGAATTATACTACAATCCCATAATATTAATCTGGAGTTGTTTAAGTGGAGCACAGATAATATTCAGAACATGTTGGCACTTCCATTGCTTTCTCATTACTAACACATTTTGCTTTCCTCCACTCTCATCTTTAGCCTGCAGGCACCTGACCTAGGAGAATATATCACACACAACAAATGATCCAGCGCTCCACATCCTCTCTCCCAGCCTACGGAAAGATATTTTATCATACAAAATATCGCTTTTTGATATCAAGAATAAAACATTTATATTCACCCCATGACCAAGAGATCACATCCCCCATAGTTGGTTCAGGAAACGCCGGTTGCAAGACAACAATTCTTCCTTTGATTTATGGATTTGCCAGTTTTCTGTCAGCCAGATGTGAACGTATGGGTTGTTTGATTGATGCTCTTGAGTGTCGAAAGCTTTCATACGGGTACACAGAAGAACATCTTGCCAACATCCATGTCAGTTAGCTGTCTCACAAGCAGCTATGCATATGAATGAGACCACTGAATATCAACAAGCAGATGTTTAGATCTCATGTCCAAAGATAGAATGAATCCTTTACAGCCTAAGATTAAAAAGGCTGTTCTTATCATCAATTAAATGTCTCCCTGTTTTCAATATGACAATTGTCTTTGTAAGTTTTGCTCCTGGGTGAGTTTCTGTAATAACACTGTATTTAATCAAAACAAGTCTTTTGAACACTACACATTTAATTTGTTAAAATTAACAGTGGTAGTTGGTTTCCTGCAAAAAGGTTTGTTCAAACCTTAATAAATCTATTTCCTAATGTGAACTAATTATGATGATACAGCAACATACCTCTCAACTATTTAATTCTTGTATCATATTATGTAAATGTGATTCCAGTGATGTTCAAGAGTGTATTCATTAAAATATGTATCGCTGTTTTATTTTTTTTTATTTATCACAGATCTTAATGTTATATCAATAATAATAATAATAATAAAAGAAAATGAGGTCCACAGTATTTATTTTCTCAACTGTTTGAAAATATGTTGTTGGAAATATGGGGTGATGGATTGAACAGTCATGCATTCATAAACCAAAACAAAATGATACTTTCTTGGTAACACTTTACAATGAGGTTCATTAGTTAATATTATTTAACTACTTTAGTTAACATGATCTAAGCATGAACAATAAATACTTCTACAGTATTTATTAATCTTAGATAATGTTAATTTCAACATTTACCTATGCATTATTAAAATCTAATGTTGTGCTTGTTAACATTAGTTAATGCACTGTGAATTAACATGAACTAACAAAGAACGACTATTTTCATTAACTAACATTAACAGAGATTAATAAATACTGTAATAAATGTATTGTTCATTGTTTGTTTGTGTTAGTTAAAGGGATCATATGATGATTTTCTTTAGTGTGTTATGTAGCTATTTGTGCATGTATAAGATCTGCAGAGTTACAAGGCTCAAAGTCTCCTACAAAAGGATTTCTAAAAGAGAAGGCTGATCCAGACCGGGCTAAAACTCCTTATTCAAACACGCCCTCACATCTCTACGTCACGATGTGGAAATATTTGCGTAATGCCGCCAAAATGTTCATGCAAAGAAAGAAGGCGTAGTTTCAGGAACCGCAGTAGTGTTGATGCAGCCATGTCAGGGAGACGCTGTGTTCCGACAATCTGGCGCTTATTCTGAATCAGCTACTGTAAGTATGTTTTCTTAATAGTTGAAGTATTTGCGTCATGTAGAGCAGTGTTTCTCAACCAGGGGTCCGTGGACCCCTAGTGGTCCTTGACATAAGGCCAGGGGGTCCGTATAAAGTATGAATTTTTGTATAAATTTTGTATATTTTGACACGACATGTTCCCATGAAAGAAAATTCCAATATAGCTGATGATATGGCCAAATACTGGACAAGTCAGCTAACTTGAATTATACTTGACTGCATTTGGTCCTCACAAAGACAAATGATACGAGTCAATTTTGTTCTGGGGGTCCTTGAGGATGGTTCTGAATTGGACGGGGGTCCGGTACGCCAAAAGGTTGAGATTCACTGATGTAGAGTATCGCGTCGCGTGTTTGTGTGTGCGTGCGTGTGCATGAGAGAGAGACAGGGTCACATCACAGAGGAGTCAGCTTTCTTAATTGCATCTTGTGTACTGCAAATACATACGAGCATCATCACTGTGTCTGTCACGTGACTCTGTTCCCCTTTCGAGCTTGAACTGATGGCGGGTCACCTGGCCAATCAGAGCAGACTGTGCTTGTCGGAAGGATGGGCTTTGTAGATTTCGACGCGTTTGAGAGAGGCGGGGCATAGAGGAACTACAATAATGTACAATATTTGAAAAATAATGTGTTTTTTAACGTTAAGGCGTTCCGAGAGCATGGGGGCGGGGGGGGAATTGAAAGGAATATTTTTGAAAGGGGGGTGCTGAGGTGTTCTTGGGGGGTAGCGCAAGTGAGTGGTGCGCGGCAGGCAGAGAACGCGGCATCCGTTTAGGCCTATGTAGCGCTCGAGCTCACATATACTGAACCACTGGTTATAATCAGGATCTGTGTGCAACGTGTTGTGATGTTCGTGCCCGGTGTAGTAGTGTTAGTTAGGGTAAGCCGTTAGTTGGCATTAATTGTGCTTGTGATAGAGGGGTAGTGGAATGCTCTCGGAGTGACTGAAAACTATGATGCTTCGACTTTCAAAAAATCCACTCCTCGCTCCAGTCAAAAATCACGCCGCTCTACTCCGCTCACTCTGCCAGGAACGGAAGAACAGGTACCTGAATAATGGGTAGGGGGGCGCTGGCCCAAAAAAGGTTGAGAACCACTGTTGTAAAGTGTTACCACTTTCACTTTACCACTGTCAAACCACTATAAAGAAACGGTCTCTGATTCTGTCCAGGTGAGAACTGAAAAACTGCCTTATCAATGCTTTAGTCTCTTGTTAAATATGAATCATCTGTTCATAAGGCTTTTCCAATTAAATGTATGGTAGACATGAAGCAGTCTGTGAGTGTCATCTCTAATTTATCATGGTCATCATGATTCATATTATTACACTATTACCAATGAATGGCATCTCTGATTATAGGACCATTTCTCTATATTTTATTAGTGCTGGTTGTGCTCCTGATGTATCAGACTCCTTGTAACTTATTCATACTAATTCACTGATTGTTTGTCTAAGCATAAAATTATTATATTGCATGTTAAACAGTTTCTCTTTTAGCCCCAACACCATAAGTCTATATAAGAACTTTCCAATGTTTTCTTTCTTACCATTAAATGGACAGGAATGTAAAAATACTTCCTAAAATTCCTAAAATAAAATAAATACATCATAAAAATTCAGTTTTACAGTTTATGTATATCCCATGAAAACTGAGTCCGATAGAAATATTTACTAGGCATGCTCCCATGCTTACTTTTAGATGATTGTGAGTTTGGTGTTGTGGCAGGGTCTCCCTGTGCAATATTTTTCTCAGAGATATGGCCCACTTATTTATGGTCCCCCCCTCTTGCCAGGCTACCTTGAAAGAACAAACTCTGAAGGAAATTTAATTAAATTTAATGTTACCTATGTTAGGATTTTTTTTAATATGCCAGTATAAATTGCTGCAGGCTTTAAATTATGCAAAATAAAATGACAAATATTGACTTTCACTAGCCGTCATGTATTTTCGAGTCTGCAGCAGGAAGTTTAAAGCTAGAAGTTTAAAGCTTACAAGCTTCAGTACGTCGTCCACACGCAGCATCTTCTGGGATTTCTGCGAATTTGATTCTCTCAGGTCTGCATTGGATGCATCCTCGATATCAAGAACACATCCAAGAACTACCATGCATCCTCTGTACTTACGTTCTTGGGTATTGGATTTGAATTTCAATGGTTGATGACCAGTGTTGGGCAAGTTACTCTGAAAATGTAATCAAATTACTGATTACTCCTTTTAAAAGTAATCACGTTACTGTTCTGATTACTTTATTTCAAAAGTAATTAGTAATTAGTTACATTACTAGTTACGTTACTTTTTTCTCCATGAAATTTATAAAATCCCAGCATACATGCTCCCGATAAATATTTGTTATTAAAGCATCAACATTCACAGAACACTGTTATTTTTAACTAAAGCAAGCGGCTGCTGCATGCATGGTTTGGCATGGCAGAATGCCAGCAGAGAGCGCTGCATTTATAATCTCTAAAGGACATCTCAGTTCATCGCAATTTCACAAATCTCTGTTATAACACAATACATATATGCATAACAAATCTTTCATAATGTCTACAATTCGTGTGTTATAATGAGAGGATTCGTGAGCACGCAAATTTCAGCACTGCATTGACCTCGGCTTGTAACTATACTCTAATTACTATTTTGAAAATTATAACACATTAAATTACTCCGTTACTAAGAAAGTAATCAAATTACAGTAACGCGTTACAAAGTAATGCGTTACTGCCCAACACTGTTGATGACATAGTACAAGAACACGTCTCAAGATC